GTGGGGGGGCGCGCTGGGGGGTTTGGGGGGGGGTTGATCAAAGGAAGCTGGTGCTCTTGGATTGTTCACTCTGCCTCCTTTGGGGAAGGGGCAAAGCGAAATCTCTTTGACACCCTCTGGATTTCCATGGGAGCCGAAAAAGGGGGAGGGGGCTCCAACTGAAACTGGGATTTTTCCTTTGGGTGCTACCTGCCTTAGATTGTAAGCACTGTTAATATTAATCAATTCCATTATCAGAGATTATTTTGGATCAGTTTTCAAAATTTCAAATTTTCCTTCTCTTTTTATAGGGGGGAGGGGAGAGCAGGTGTTTGGTCAGAAACAGGCTAGAGAAAGAGAAACCAGTAGACAGAACTCTACACATGGCTTGGGGCACAGGAAAATAGTCTCTGGAGCTCCTCTCCAGTAGCATAATTCCTCTCCCAGGACCTGGCTGATCATAATTATATAAATGAAAAAGCAAATGTGTATTATAAAAGGGCACGGAACAATGCTAGGTTTCTCTGCCTAGGCCTAAATCCCACTGAAGCTCAGCAAGGAGTTATCTGAGACTGAAACCTACATCCATAAAGCTTTACTCACGAGGAGGCTTCCTAAACTTCTCCCAGCTCTTCTACCTCCTTCCTTGGCCGACCGTTTTTTCTTCTGCTCCTTCACCTTCTTCTCCCTAGAAACCCAGGGCCAAGGGCACCTCCGTCTCTCGGAACTGGCTCTAAAACATCCCTCGGAATTGCCCCTTCTCCCACACCAGCAAAGTCATCCTTGCCTCTAGCACAATAAAAATATCCAGCTTCAGCTTCAGATTACATTTGGGGTGCTCTGATGCTGAAGGGGTTGTTCTCCAGAAAGAGCTGTGGGGAAGAGAGGTGTGAACACCTACCAGCCTTTCTTGCGATGCTTTCCTTCTAAGGATTGCAGTCCTACTGTGAACATCCTTTATCTCCTACTTTTTCCTCCTTCCCCACTCTAATTTTATTGGAGAGGGGAATGAAGTGGGATCTTTATGGTTTTTTAAAAAATCCATAACTAAGCAGATATTTATAGGAGTACAGTAGTTTCACCCAGAGTGATTTCTTAAAGATCTCCAGATTTTTCCCTCCCTCTTTTCCCAGCTTTTAACCATCTTTCTCCCTCTCCCCCACCCAACAGACTATCCTCAATTCGATGCATAAGTACCAGCCGAGATTCCACATAGTCCGAGCGAACGACATCCTCAAGTTACCGTACAGTACTTTCCGAACTTACGTGTTTCCCGAAACCGACTTCATCGCGGTGACTGCATATCAAAATGACAAGGTAAGGACATCGTGGGCTGTGGGGAATAAAGGCCGGGTCTCTCTTCCTTAGTTTTCTGGTTAGTCACCTCTGTACTTTCAACTCTTTCTTCCAAGGCGGTTGGTTTCAAACCTGAACCGGCTGAAACAGTAGGCATAGAAGACCCCTGATGGCTAGTGTTCAGGATAGACTGCCATGGTCCCCGGAGGTTCCATTGAGCTTTAAGCTTCTTGGATTTGTCTCTTTGTCTCCTCCTCTTTTTTCAAAGCCAAGGAATCTGAGACAGGAGCTTATCAACGTGAGAATTAGGGAGAGAGCGAAAAATGAAGTGGCAGGTCTGCAATTTTCACTGGAGGCCGCGCTTCAATCTTAAATATCCAACGTGCAGGGCTGGTTGTATGATGCACAAATATTGGCAGGGAATAACTTCCCTGCAACATCTTTTGTTACATAAACAATGCCCAAAATATTTCCCTCCCCCAAGTCGCTGGTTTTTATCCCCTAAAATCCACAGTTTGAAGTTTTAAGAGGTATTTCAGAGTGATGATCTCTTTTCCATTATGGTCTTCGCACAACACCTTCAAAAAATGCCTTCATGGCGGCTTTTCAATGTTCAATCTTTCCCCCTGCTCCCCTCTTGATTGAGGGAATTCCCGGGGGGAAGACAATGGAATAAACAGTGGGATTCTGGTTGCAGGATCCACTGATCACATTCACAGAAATGGTAACCTGGGTTAGTGGCACCATTGCTGCATTCACATAAATCAGCTCGAATGGCTTGATTCGCACAACTTCCTAAAGTGATGGCTGGTTTTTCCCAACACCCTGAATCGCACCCAACCCCATTGGAACCTGGTTTACGTGTCGTGTGAAACCAGGCCATGTGCTTACATTATGGGTCAGTGCAGCCTACAACTCAGATTTAGCTTAACTGTGCAAACTTTAGTTAACCCTGGATAAGAGGGGCTTGGAAACGCCTTGTGGACTTTGGTGGACAGGAAATGGGCAGGGAAGTAGAGAACTGGGGGCTGAGTTCCCCCAACAAGCTTACGCTGCTGATTGAATAAATTGTTTTCAGAATCTACTGAACCAGGAACTAATCAAAGGAGCTGAATTCAGCAAACTGCTAATTCATTTACTAAAATTATAAAACTGATCAAGGTTGGGATTCAGACAAGGTCAGAACTGCCCGTGAAGGACCTCAGCAGCTCTTTATCTGATTGTGGGAATCCAATCACCACATTTCAAAGAGAAAGGCCCGAGAATCGGGCGTGCAGCTTTATACATGCAAGAAGACCCCATTCAAATCAGTGCTGCTTGCTTTAGAGCAAACCCCTGTAAAATCGGTTGCACGCCTTTGGAAAACGCCATGCTCGACTTGCTGTGCTCAGCCTGGAAGGAGGGAAAAGCGGGGTGTGTGTGTGTTAGTTTATTTTAAAGCCCAATTATGTTCCAGATTCAAGGTATAAAACCTCGGCTGGATATTGGACTGGAGCTAGATTTGAGCTGGGAGCGAAGGAATGGCTGGGGAAATTTGTTTTGCAAAGCTTCCCAACATTTGGAGGGAGGGGTGGGGGGAGGAGAGGACCTTTTCCTTGCCGGCCCCCACCCCAATCTCAGCCCGGCCTGGCCTTTCGCTTGGGGGCTTTCTCTCTGCGGTGGGCCCGGCATTGGAGGGTCGTTAATTGATTACGGACGGCACCCTTCAAGTTTACGAGGCCACCAGGCTGGTCGGGTGCGAGGGTCCCAGCCACCCGGGCGCAGAAGGCAAAATAATTTCAAACCCGACCTTTCTAGATCTCCGGCCTGGAGATGAGAGAGCCTTGCTGCGCCCTCCTTTCTCCCAAAATCTGAGCCCCAGTCCTCCCCCCCCCCCCCCCC